TTGTAAATACTTGAGTTAGTAATTATAACAAATATTAACATAAGTTAATGATATCATTATAAAACGTATGTGACAATATGATGTATAGAAACCAACGTCATAATAGGTACAGCATTTTCTATTGAAAATAAAATGTTAGTACTCGTGCAGGTTCGAAATGTATTTAACTGAATGAAGTTCGCTTGGACTGTTGATAAAACAGCTTTATTAACGTTTCGTGTTGCAGCTCAAACATACTGTCACTGAAAAGCTTAATGGAATTTTCAAATTAGCCAATAACTGGCCTGTAATTACGTACTAATTTATATAACGGCATTTGGAGGGATTATGTGGAAATTCATAAACCTCGTCAATAATTAAAAAAATAAATAAAAAAATCTCACACCATCCTCATCATCGAAGTATTACAGCTCTCTGACCACTCATGACCGTTCCATGTGACGCTGTAATTAAATATAAGTTACGGCCATGACCGGAGAGACGAATTGAATTGACGGCTGACAATTTTTCATACGTTTCTCTTAGAATAGAGTTATTATAGTGGATTGCCCACTTGCCGTGCCCTGACCCAACGGTAATCTGCAAGCGACAGGGGTGTCCCGCAGTAGGTAGAGCAGGTGCTCAGCCTGCTAGAAAAGAGCGATAGTGCACGGGCGCTCGGCTCTAGTATAGTGAAATATAATAACACGCTGGCAACTGAAGCGCGCCGCCGGTGATGGTACTCTCACCATAATTCTTTCATCTAGAGTAGGGCTGCTAAATTGGGAGGCACACTAGGTGAGACGTGGGCCAGTGCAAATCTGCAGGGCATCGGTGTAGCCCCCTACTTGCCGAGTCACTGAGAAGTGGAGGGAAAAAGAGACGGTCGAGCTCATCAGCTCTAATAAAGGCAAGTGTCACGCATTTAAACGGAGAAGGCCATTAACTTGAAACATTAACTTTTAACAATAAATAAATTTCTGCAATTTTCTAATTTTTAGAGGATTAATAATTATCGATCCATCGCAGTGTTATTAATTGAACTTTGTTCTATTCAAGCTAAAAATGTTAAGAAAACAGACGTTGGGAAATATTCATTGGGCGAATCGCACAATTAGGGACTGGAACAGTTTGCCTGTGACAATCTTCGATCCATTTCCTCAAAGCCTGAGCAAATTCAAAAATAAATTAGTTTCTTGAATGTGGCTATGTTATAAATATATTTAATTTAAAATTCAGTCTGCAATTACTATGTCTTCTTTGTAATTAAGTATTATTATTGTGTATTATTATTAATGTTATATCATTATTCATTGTTATTATTATTAATGTTATTATCATTATTATGTATTATTATATTATTGTTATTATTATCATTATTATTGTTATTATTATTGTCATTATTATCATTATATTATTATTATTATTATTATTATTATTATTTTTATTATTATATGTGCAGTGCAGTGGCGGAAGTGCAGTGACGTTGTGTAACTGCAGAGAAACGAGTGAGTAAGAAAACATTACAGCTCGCTGTATCGCAGTGCGGTGGTGAAGTGCCGGTGAAGTGAAGTTTGGTGAAGTGAGGTTTATGAAAGCATGCACGGTGAAATGTTCATGAGATTGTGTGAACGTTTGTAGAGTTTGTATAGTTGTGAAGTTTACGTAATGTTAAGTTAGTGTATTCTGCCACCAAGTTCTCACACTTAATTGCAGAATTATTAATAAATCTATCTATCTATCTAAAACCAGTAGAGTCACAAATTGCTGTAGACCTCGCACAACTTAACACGATTATCTAAAGTTATAATGTTCTTAAATATTTAAAACGCTAAGGGGTTTCGTGTGGAAGAAAGTTTGAGTTTTCAATTCAAACAAATTTTTGATGTTTAAAAAATAAAAGGCCATGGTCTCTAGATTTCTTATTAAAGGTTTAGCGGTTGTACACAAACTCAATGTCCAGCAATTGTCTGATATATATGACCTTTTTCTGAAAGCATTTTAGAGATTATCATTATGTGTGATGTTTTAAAGTTATGATATATATTAGATATATGTCAGATTGTCTTTCTATATCCCATTTCAACGTACATGTACAGAGCGTAGTGAATATACAATATTTTATTATAATTTACATAAACATGTGCTTTAACTCTGTGTTTAGATTCAATAGTGATTACATTGTTATAGAATTTGCAAACTTTTCTCATTTTATTTGTCTTGAAGAAATATTACTGAACAAAATGCAGAATATTTTTTGGGGTTTTTATTTATCATGTAGTGACTATATAGTACTCTTCTGTTGTAATGTATGTGCAGCAATTCTTTTCGTTTGAGTAATCTCAAACGTTCAGCTGGTATTTATTATAATATTCCGTGCTCTTACCGCCGTCCGCAGAAAGACCGAGGAATGTTCTGGCTGCCGATTTCATCATGAGAAAAATCATAGACCTCTACTGGCGAAGTTGCTTTCCTTTTTTGACCTCTGTGCAAGTGTACATCATAGTGTACCTTACTCTACTCATTCATAAAAGAGGACATACACGTACAAGTATTAATTAAGGAGAACACACATGATCACAACTTTATGATCACAAGATGTATTTTTAAATTATCGAGAATTTCCATACATTTCCAACCGAATTATTGATCCAAAACTGTATAATTGTCGTGTTTTTTAATCTGAATATTTGACTCAGTCTAAATTTTGTGATAATTCTAGTTTTTTGGTTGACGTTTACGTTCATTGACGTTTCCGAATACGTCAACTGCTGTGGCCATTAGTTCTGTTGGTGTAATGAATGTTTTATTCTGGAGGGTCGTGGTGCTACTCCACCCACTAGATTGTGAGATCCAGCGTCAAACTTCACGCCGTCTTGCGGGTAATTCCCTCCTCCAGGTATCTCCTTAAGAGGGGTAACGCCCCAGCTGGAATAAATTCTAAGCTCTGATAAATTATCAATATGTCTGTGATAAACTATCAATATACAATGACCAACAACAATACATAACTCCATTATCAATAATATCAACTCCATAATTCCATATTTTGAACTATTACGTGTGTTTTAAATATCTGTAGATTTTTAAAAAAAAGATCCAAAATTATATTATTTCTCTTCTGAAACAATATAGTATGCATTATCCGCTGTTTGCTAAAACCTATGCAGTGTTTTAGTTAACTAAACATTGTTATTTAATAAATCGTACGGATATCAATTAAATACCAAAATAATTAAAATTAATAATTCCTATTCGATTACATTCTATCGCAAGTTGGTTTCTTTATGCCTACTATAATTATCTAAAAGAAACATAGTCTAGAAAGCAGGAAATGATGAAAGTGGACGAGAAAAGCCCCGCTAGCGGTGAGGAAAGGGAACGTATTTATATTCCCGACACCCCCCGCTAAGCACGTCTTCTCGACACGTTTTGACTGCGAGTTTCTCAATCGCAGAGCAAAAAAGACGAAGTTCGTCCGGGTCTAATAATATGCTTACCTCTTCCACAGAAGTGTCCAAAGTGTCCTAATTATGAAGCGGCGACGCGTAGGAAACATCGCACGGGGGAGTTAGAAAAAATTGCGTTTTCGAAATACTGTTCTGCTGTATCGATGTAATGGAACGTAACAGAGATACGAAAAGCTACTCTTTTCGGCCGGTGCCTGTCAAGAGACTCTCCACACGGGATTGCATTGACGCACGAGAAGTAACCCGCGTCGTAGAAAAATCATGTTATCTTATGCGGGACGGCCAAAGCGCTCATGTGGCGTTTCGCATAAGATACAGTGTTAACCTATGACGCTCGGTTCTTATCGCGCGTCAACATAACGCTCGTGTGACACAAGCTTATGGATTTAACAGCCCGCCGTTAGTTAAAAAATCAAAACAAGTGAATTTTACATAAAGAAGGATGTTCCAATAAATAGCACTTCTTTTATATGCTTTTTTCTGAAAAGATAATATCACGAAAACTAGTGAACAACACAGGCCGATAACACAAAAAACAGACTCTGTTGTTTATAAACGTCGACCACCGCATCGGTTTACACACTTCAACCGCGTCTCTTGTTTACTGTTAATTGCCTTAATCATGTTAATGACTATTGCAGTTAAAGTGTTGTAGATAAAAGGAAATAAAATCTTTTGAATTTTTCTTTCAAAATGAAGAAAAAATGATGCTTGCCCAGGAAAAAAAATAACTTTTTTCTCCGTCACTTTAATGTTTGGAGGGTGCCGCATTCTAATTTTATATTGTTCCACCACGTAAATATAATGCGTCCTGAGTAAATTATAAACTTGATTTAATTTTATCAATGTGTCAGTAATTATTTGAAAACAACGCAGTTTTAGGGGCCAGTTTTACTCGACAAAAAACAGTAGTGCGACAGAATGACGTAAACTTTCTCGTAATAGTTAGTTTCCTATTATCTTACGTCTGGGATAGCTTTTCGGTTTTCCCCACCGTCTTTTCAGTTGGGATGTATTGGCGCATAAAGGCGATTTTTTACGTTTTCTATTTTTTTCGGTCCCCTTAAAGTTGAGTTGAAATACGACTTTAACATATAATAGAAGACTGAAGCCTGGATATCTATATACATTTTTGATCAAAACTGTGCGGCTGTTTTTTAGAAAATGTCATTTTAGCGTATTTGGAAATGCAATTTTAAGTTCTTTTTCACTCAAAACGTTTCAGGTTTCGATAAATTTAATACGCATTCATTTGAAGTATTTTTACTCGTACATGCAACAAAATATAATATTTATATAGTATCGTAGGCTTTCACGGCCGGAGTCATTAGAAAGTAGATTTTCCGGGCTGGTAGGCCGTGGTCCAGTTGGCATAGTAAAATATAATATTTACTTAATTTTAATATTAAAGACCTGAGAAATATTTTTAAGCACATTCGTGTAATATTTTAATAATCAAATAATAATTGAAAATGACGTTAATGTAATATTATTTAGTAATTTAAGTACTATCCTTAAAGTACTAAAAATATTATTTGTGTTTAATTTTAGAAAATCTTCACACCAGCGAAAAGGTTAAGACTTCTTCACTCGCTACTCATGCGTACATTAACGTATGTCTCGCACACGGAGAGTCGTTTGTCTCAATCCACACTACGTCTTCTTGAAGGTAGGACAAACTATATATTGATAAATTATTTTGAAAAACACTAATTATGTTTCAAGGACCACCAAATCCTGTCTTTTTGTCAATATCTCGACACAGTATTTTAAAGAATTTTTGCAGCATTTCATTCCTTTCTCTACGACATGTACAAGAAAAACTAAAAATAATTCATCTGAATGCGCGTTGGTAAGGACTTTGAATTCGGTCCCTACATTCCTGTGACAAATTAAGGTGGCTGGGGTTGTCAACTGATGGCACGGCAGTGTCTATAATCGGGAGGTCCTGTTGTTCAAGTCTCAACAGAAGAAGGATTTTCAACACTAGCTTCACACACCCATTTCAGACGCTGCCTAGAGAATAATTCTAGCAGCCGGCGGCTCTTAACAGAAGTTTTCCTAGGTTTCTCCGATAAACACCAGGCGAATGCCGAAGTGTAACCTTACAGAAAAGGACCATGAACCTCGCGTCATCTTTCGTCCCTCTTCCTTCCCTTACTCTCACACACGTATACTAATGTGCACTACACTACCACACATGTCTGGAGACCAGCCGGAAGTTTAGAGCTTGCTCCGCCTAGGGCGGTGCCCAGCTGCTGCGAAACACCTGGATGACGGAAAACCCCGCTCGCCGACGTGAAGGTTTGCGCCAGACCAACGGGGATGATAAACCATCACCTCCTGTCATAAAATAGGCACAACACATACGGCACTGAAGACCACAGCAATGGACTCGCCCGGAAATACAAAACAATAAATGAATCGCTACACCCCGGTCAACCAGTTCCTTTTCTCTTCTTTGAAGTTCGGGGCCGCTCAGCGTTGTGCCTTTACCGGCAGCGGCCACGCGGTGCAGCACGGCGCTTCTGTTGAAGGCGCTGGGCGCTAGAGCTAACGGCACCCCCGATTGGACGCGCTCCAGGCGATCGTTAGCGCGATTGGCGCCCGCCCCCGCACGGGAGCAATTGAATTACTTCTTCTTGTTTCCATGTTGCAACAATCCCCCGAGGGAAGGAAAGACCTGCCCTCCGGACTCCGCCAAACTTTTCTCTGGGGGATCTTCCAGGAGAGGAACTTGGATCGCTGGCGCTTGTATTGGGCCAGATTCCGAGAGAGGAAAGGGGCTTTTCAAATTGGCCCCTTCGTTGTACTGTATCATTTTTGAAAATATGAATGGGCAGAGGAAATTACACAATCCTTATACATGTTCTCCGGGAAGGAAACGTCTAAACTTCGAAAATAAACTCATAAGACAGTTTTAAGCATATTTTGTGTAATGAATTACTTGGATATTTCGAATGGCTAAGCCGCTAAAAGTACTTAACAGTTGGTTTGCAAAAATGATTTCTGGGCATACGTTTGTATTGTTAAAGTATATAAACACTCCAGAAAATGTAAATTGTTCATTATTTACAAAATAAATGAATATATTTGTTCAGAAAGAAAAATTGACATAGTGATAACAAAACACCCACTTTACACAATTAGACTGCTTTTTTTTATTTCTGGACTAATTTTACTTTCTGTACTTATTTATTAATATTTTTGTAACTAATAAACAATTTACATGTTTCTAGAGTGTTTCTATGCTTCTGCAATGCAAAGTTTTTCCCAAAAATCATTTTTTCAAACCAACATTTGAGTACATATTGCAGCTTAACCATTCGGAATATCCGCGTAGTTTATTATAAAAAACATGCTTAAAATTGTCTTAAGAGCATAATTGCAAAGTTTTGACGTTTCCTCCTCGGACACCTTGTATAGTAATTGAGTAATCTGTGATCAGCTGCCCGTCTGTCGATCCGTTAATTCTACCTTCCTTCTTTTGGTAAGTCCGTCTGACCGTTCGACCGTCCGTCCGTCCGTCCGACCGTCCGTCCCTCCGTCCCTCCATCCCTCCGTCCCTCCGTCCCTCCGTCCCTCCGTCCCTCCGTCTGTCTGTTCGCCAGTCCGTCACTCACGGTTAGACTAGATTGGTAGACATTTCCAGTTCACCAATCAAGGCAAATGAGGTGTTATGCGATACGTCTTGGTCATTTAATGGAAACTGAAAATTCCTGTGCGAAATTCATTCAGACAGTTCTTAGAAATTTTTCTACAAACAGTGTTTTTATTTTTAAATCAATCACCGAAAAATTCTGGTTTCAATTTCAGTTTTCCTACGTTTTCTTCATAATTTTGAACAACATGAGTTCACGTTTCGAGAAGTGACGTAATTAAGAAAGGAATATTAACACTTGCTTGTGTATGTTTGTCATAGATGGCGATGTTACTTCCACGCTAGGTGATGAGATCCGACTCAATTACACTCATCGTATTTTCGTTTCTATTTATCTCCTCAAAAAGGTCTCCCCACCTGAGTAGTTTTCCAGCGTGTGTGTGGTTGTGCAAGATCGATTTAGAACGTACGAGTACGTGATTAGTACTAGGGGAAAGTCCGGCAGGATTTGATGATATCATTCAGAGGAAATAATAATTACGTAGATTATAAATGAATAGCTGCAAATATGTGATCTGTTGTATCTCTGTATAGAAAAAACATGAAATGAAAGACAACTTGTATAGTTTTTTAAATTGTTCATACTTTGAAAAACTGCTTGTGACATATCCAACTCCACAGCTAATGTATTTATCGTACCAATCGCAATGTAAGATTAGGAATTGACAGAGATAATGTCTTTAATAATGATACTAACTGGTATTAATGGTAACATTATAAACAGTGTTATTGGAATGGCAGTATTGTAGTGTTTAATATTTTAACCTTTTATAGTGTTACACTGGTTTATTTCTATCATTAGTGCCAAGAAAAGTAAATGACTAAATAACAAAATACACACGAACATAATCCCCTCGTATAATACGCATTTATGTAGTATTAAATACACGCAGATATAAAGTAAATAAATATACACGTATAACTATAATTGTTTACTTTTATTAAAAGAAATGAATTTTTTCCTTCAACCTGCAAAGAGTTTATATTTTTAGCCGAAGTACATTTAGTCCTCCGACCGAAGTGCCCGTTGGAGCAGTTCGCTTCCCTGTTTCTGGTCGAGTGGCTCCGAAAGAGAGCAGAGCGTCCCTTGGCCTTTCGACTCGTCGTGGTTCACCAGCCGTCGAGTGGGCTCCGGAGAGGCACGTCAACGGCGGGGGTGGGGCGCCGCGGCGGGAGGGTGGGCGGAGGAGGTGGGGGGGGTCGCAGCGGCAGGGACGAGGAGGTGGAGATGGCGAGGTCTGCATCTGTAGAGGTGGAGGAGGGTGCGTCAGGGAAAATGAGGTGGAAACGACGACGAAGGTTGGGGGCGGGCACGCGGAGGAAGGCGAAGAGGTGGTGACAACTTGGGGGGGGGGGGGAGGAGGGAGGGAAGTGAGGGAGGAAGAGAACAACGGCGATGGCGAATGACGGCACTTCGGAATCAGACATGCGATGTACGTCAGTCCAATGGCATTTGCAGTGATGCAGGATATGAGATGGTACTTGTCTCGTTGCAGATTCCGAAATGGAATATAATATTAAGAGAGGTGAATCCGACAGTTTATGCCAGGCCGTGATTTTTACTTCCAGTTGTCTTAATCAGGTATGATGATTTCCGCTCCTTCAGGTGCTTTTTTACTTTGTTTCTTTCAATTGAGTTTTATTTGATACGAAAAATAAGTATATGTATGTATCCACTCAAATTTGAATGTGTAACAATTTCGTTAACACATACTTTTTTCACGTCTTGGTAGAAGCAATTTTGTAAATTTCTCTGACAAAAATGAATTCAGGTCGAACATTGTCAATGTGACTGAATTAATCTCAAGGAAACCTTGCACTGCCATTGAAGCTGACAAAGAACTCTTCTCGAGTTCACGTTAAAGGTGTTCTATTTTCTTTTTTCTTTTTTGGGCAACTGTAAGATTTATGGGTTCTTTTTTCATCAATCGACCTTGCAAAGTTATTTACATTTTTCTTCTTTCAAACAATACTGAACGAAATAGCTACACAAAACTGGTTTCCTTTGAAAACCTCTTCTATGATACGTCAACAAAGATTTTGAAAACTATGTTATGGACAAGAAGTTTATTTTCTTAGAAGATATTTATAAAATAACTTTGTTTTAATTATTCATTTTAATAAATATTACTTTAGAGCTCTTTTCACATGGGAAGAGAATAAACATTTTTACAGAAATAATAAAAATGGGGTGGATTCTTCAGTAAATTTCAGGGAAGCCTTTATTTCAATAAGCTCATTTTCGTGTCTATCTCAGAAATGTGAATTTATTGCAGCTAACCCTCGGATAAATGGAACATCTCCTAATGGCTCATTTGCGATATAGGATTTATTTCTGAGAATTTCTTAACAAGAAGCACGTGGCTTTCTAGTGTGAATTCATGATTTACGGTTTCTTATTTGATGCCAGGGACCAACGCACTACCGTTCGTGCATATTTGATAATTTCTTGCTTCGTCCACTGTAAAAACAAATTCCACGTATTATTATGCTAGTAATTATCGTGCAATTTTGTTTCACCGGATATCTAGTAGAGTTATTTTACGAGTGATAATTCAGTCTTGATTTATTGAGGAATTTCATTGCTCGATAGTTTGCCAATTATCCAACTGCAACTACTTTACCGGGAATATTAATTGTCAGAAGTGTTATTTAACCCCTGAAAGCCACTGCGTCAGTCTTAATTGCTAACGACAATGCCTCGTAATTAGTTTTTGACTGCTACCATCAAGGAAATTTGATTAAAATGTATTTTGTTACACATTTCTCAGAAAACAAGAACTGTTTACTGATGAACTGCCGCGAACTGTTTAACTATTCCAAAAATTTCTATTACATATTCTTCCAGTACACATCACTATGGACATAAGGTTAATAGAACATTGTGTTCATGGACTATTTAAAATTGAACTC